ATTCTTTTGTCATTAAGGTTTTCCAAAATAACACCCAATTTTCATCTACTAACTATTTTATTGAAATTGTTTTTAAGAGACAAGGTATTTTAATTGTATAGATGACATCAAGACAAAAAAATCGCTTTTGATTCGTCCCAATATCTCAATTCGTTCCGTTGTTATAAGCTTCCAAAATTTAAACGTAATGTTTGGTATAGTTTATAAACATAGTGACCCAGTTATTTGCTTAATCCTTTGAGCGCTGAGTGGTGCGATGTTCAGCGTCCACTTTTTACGACAACGCGAATGCATATAACTCGAGAGATTATTAATAATATAGGGTAATTTAAAATAAAGTACTGAAAAGCAAAGAACAAATAACCAGTAAAGGAAAGGCTTGCCTACTATCAAAATCCAATCCTAATTTCAATATTGTTTTTCATTGATATAAACAATTATAATTCTTCTATTTTTATACATTTACACGATAATATCTCTGTAACCAAAAGTCAGATGAAAATGAATCAAACAACATTTTTAAGATGCTATTTTTTCGCTTCCAACATCGAAGGTTTCATCCGTTTGTGTTTATTCGTTATTATCTACCACAGTTACCGTACCGGAGTAACGAGATTCGGGGGTAAACTCTTGGTTCCGAAAACGATAACGTACGTAATAACATAGTTACTAGACTGGCATGTATGTGAGGTGCTTCAGTGCCCCATCTCTCACAAAATATGAGAGAGGCGGGTAAGACCGCAAATATATATTAATGAAATATCGATGTGTGCCAGGAAAATGTATACCAAACGGCGTGCCGATACGATAAACGAAACTGGATATCTGAAATGAGCCTCTTAATTATTGACACTCCAGTCGGTGATTGGCAGATCATTTCAAGCCATACCGACGCCTTGCGGCCGCAGTTAATTTCAATCGGGCCCGTTTTCGTAACGAGCCACCGATGCCAATCCGCTGTCCGATATACAATAGAAGATAAGTGAGATAAACACGTGAAATCGATCGAGCCCCGATGCATGTAACGACGATTGAATCCGTGATCGATGCCGTCGGTTCGATATTAAGAACCGGTGAAAGGTAGGTATTGTTTGCAGGCGTTATCGCGATCGGCGCACGCTGCCGCGTGGAAACGAGTTTAATTGCGACAGACATTTCAATATTTACCTCGAATCGGACGGCAAATTTCGGCAAAATTTCAACCCCGATGCCCGACGGTATCGATTCCGTGCGAGTTGAATTTCATACCCTCGACTGGAGTGACAGCCTATAAATTGAGATTTGATCGATGACCTTCGGCTAGTAATAACCGCGTGGAGCCAGTGTTTGCTCATGGGAGTTCTGGAATCGGCCCCTCTAGTTATAGACCGGAACGGAAAGAGCAACCTAATTCAGGAACGGAATTCCCCACCGAGGGACAGAAATAAAAAGTTCTTTTTAATTCACGCGGTCAGAGGCGGCGGTGGGCCGCGGGAGGGGTATAAGAACAAAGAGCGTTCATCGTTATGAACAAAAGGAGAGGATGACGGGGAGAGGGCGGGGGGTGGTTGCAAAAGAAAAATGGGAAAAACCGGATCGTTCTAGGAATACGATGTAAGCGCTATTGATTGCGCGAAATTAATTTCATCGTACTTCCCCCTCCCCCGTACCGAATAATTTTATCTCTAACCCCGAACTATTTCAAAGTCGGCTTTGCCGTAAAAACCGCCGAGCCCCTTCAGCATTATTCACCGGATGAAAGTCATAAAAGAAAAAGGGGACGTGTAAATCGGAATTAAATCGACGTCGTGCGTTTCGTACGGCGAAATGAATTTATTTAAACGGTCGTTGGGAACGCGGGACAATCACGAGAAACTGGTCGAGGCGAATGAGCGCGGACAACGACGGTAAACAGCGGTTGTGATTTATTAAAAGACATTCTACCACCCCATCCCCTCCCCGCATTATTTCTATTACTGCGCCGCGTCGGTAAACTGTTAAACGCACGATGTTCCTCTAATCCAAACTACCATAAAATGGGAACGATCTAATTCCGCGGGGTCGAAGTCCGGTCGGTTTTATTGCGAAACACCGTCGTAAAAGTTTACGTCCGCCCGAGGACCGTCGAGCCAACTTTCCTTTTAGCGGGTTCGATCCCCGCGCCGGGCATCTTGCCCTCTTGTTTAATTACGTCGATTAACTACCACAACCCGGCGGCTACTTCCCCGGATATCGCGACAAATCTTCACTTTCCAACGGACGACCCAAGACGAAGCTTCACCAACTCGCGTGAAATATTACTCGAGCATGCTCGACAGCGATCTGCCGAAGTTTGTCGACATGGAAACTGGTAACGTAATCTCATACTCTGGTCGACTTCGATCGAATCAGTGTAGGACGATTAAGAACCGTGTCAGGACTACTTCCTGGGTATGTCGCGACAAATTCGAGCGACACATCTCGAGGCGGATGAAACCTTATCTGTCCGGTAAAAAGGGTTGAACGTCCTCGACTCGTCGGGAACAGCCCACGTACGGTGGGCAGGACAGGGGAGAGGCTGGCAACTGATAGGGCAACCGAACCGTAGAATTGAACCTTGATCTACACCCCCCGAAGAACTGGTACACATGGCTGGCTCGGAACTGGGATACCCATCGATTGACATGTCCGACGGTCGAGTGGATCAGTTTACTCGCGGCTGATTCGCCCGTGGACGGCATGTTCGACTAGAATTTAAACCCAGCTCCGGTGGATCGGTCCCAATCCCCCTTTGAACGTGGTCAAACTCCGTATCGCCTATACTATACATTCATTTAGTCTTCGAATTAATTGGTCGTACCGCGTTAGAACCGCATGAACGACCGACGATAGTTTCGTATGAAGAACACTTAGGCGAATGGATAGTAAGAGCTGGGATATAGAGGCGAGGATGAGCTCGAGGACAAAGTAAGAAATGTACGAAGACTGCGGTAATGGCTATTACCATCCGTCACCCCCAAAAGAGATTAAAGTTAGTCCTGGCAACCGATCTGCCGATAAAGCGAGCCAATGTTCGAGTGGTCGCGATTTTCTTCCATGCGCTACAGTATAGCTAAGTTAGCGCCAGGCGAAATAATCGCGTTAACGGTGATCCACCCGAAAGAGAACCCACCTGGAAATGTTGGCTATCGATTGCCTTCAATACATGTATGATCCCACTATACTGTACCCTTTGCCTTACGTACATCGAATGATACACTGATTTCGGCGGAAGGAGCCGTGCGATTAACAATCGCTTAACAGAAGTGTATTGAAAGGATTACGCTTATCAGTCCACTGATTGACGTGTATCGTATCAAAGAACAGAATTGCGCCGAGCGTACCAGCACCGTGTCACCACACGTATACTCACGGATCTGTATACCATTGATTAAGTGGAACAGGCCGGCCAGTTTCTACTGACCATGTATCCCTCCACCACCGTTTTAATCGATACGATTATTCTGTTCCACGCTTCGACTCACAATCTGGCCTACGAGTTGCACTGTCAGCGACGCTTGTTATTGATCTAATTTCCTTTATTTCGCCATTCGGATCGAACCGTCGGGATGTAGGCCAGTCGCGTCGCCGTTAAGCCCGACAATTTTTGGACGGCGAGCAACGCCGCAATAATTAGAAACGAGATACGCGATACCGATAACGAAGCATTCTCGTTCAATCTAGGTCCTCGCCGCTATTACACCGAGCAATTTCCGTAAATTCCAACGAGCATCGCGTCCGACCGGATCTTAACAAAATTCGAAAATATTCGACGAAGACTGTCGACGGGAGAACCCAATCCCCGATCCAATTCTCATTTCACGTTCCATGAATTTATGCGGTTCGATACTTCTCATCGATCGATTAATTAAAAACCTTTTTGCACATTACGTATACGAGCAATGATTGTGACTAAAGTTTCTCTACAGAGACGCGTTGTTTTAAAACTCACACGTTCGTGAAAAACGATACGGCGCGAGTCGTGTGCCGGAAATTTTTGATTGATTTTCCAGCCGCGACGGTAACGCGGTGTATTAAAGGGGAGGGAACGATACCGGATAATCAGGGGAAGAGCGGAACATCTGTAGACGCAGCTAGTCAAACGTGGCTTAGCGAAGTCCGGTCGTTGCGGTCTTCGTGTTCTATGAGGATTTAAACTAGAGGCGGACCCCGTCTCGCTCCCCCTGGACCCTCTCCACTGTAATTCCTGATCCGGATTTGAATTCTGTCGTATCCTGACTCCGCGTGGTTTCCCTGATGAAAGACCAACCCTCTGCTCCTCGTCTTCCACGACGTCTTCCACTCTACGTTCTTCGTAAGCCATTTTCATTCGTACAAGACGATAAATCCTTCGATCAACCGGCGCAAATTGAATTCCCGATATCACCGTTAGAACAACTCGCCCGGAGGGAACTATTTTTCCTTGCCCGTGTTCAATCCTTCAAGCCTCTGCGACAGGCTTCCATTCTAATAATAATAATGAAATCTATTTCAAGAAAAGCTGGACTCCGCTGCTTAGTGATGGATACGAACGAACCGCGATAAGTCATCCGAGATTCATTCTTAAGAAAGTAACTTATGATCGATGGACACGCGACGTCCTGAACACGATGAAGAGTATACGAACGTGTCGCTCTGGAGTCGATCCGAACTATTTCTAGCCACTTTTTAATCGTCGTCGATCCGCCCCGTTTTGTATCATCGTATCCGATAGGAGCTGCGATAGGTCATGTACCCGAGCGTGATAAGAGTAATTTATCGGACGTCAGGATAATCCTTTGATGCATGGTGTCCGGTCCACCATTTTTTTTTTTTTGTTTCCCAGTCGCTGCCTGCATGCCACGCGTCGCGAATTAACGGCCTCGTTGAAAATTGACGATTCGAAATTTCGGCGGCACGCCTCGACGCTGTCCCGGTCCCGATGCGGTGCGTGTCGGTCGCACGCAAAGAGAATTTCTGCGGTTCGATTACGTAACACGCAGCCCCAATTTCTGTCATTCCAGAGATGTGAGGAATGATCACGTGGGTGATGGTCGGGCTGCTCCTGGCTGCGGAAACTTGCGGCAGAAACGTCATCTCCGGAAACGGAAACGGAAAGGAAGAGACCAAGGGACAGAAGGACGGCTTGAAGGGAGTCACCGCCGAGGAGGAAGACATCTACCGTGGGTATCGGCGTCGAAACAGCCGTTGAAAATAAGTGAAGAGAAAAGGGTGGAGAAAGAACCAGGGAGAGAGAGAGAGAGAGAGAGGCGCAGAAACGAGACGGCAAACAGATCTATGATTTGCTCGACTAACTCGAGCTTATCCAGGCCCACTCGAATCCTGCAATCGAGTTCCACTAATCCTACTTCCTGGCTTTCCTACCCGCTTACGGATCTCACGGGCCACTTTGCCCTACCTCCCACCCGCCAAACTATCCCACAAATCATTTTCCCGAGCTATACACCTCGGCCTGTAACATATTGCGCTGAAATATCGTCGACCGCGTCGCTGCCAAGCTTCTTAAAAAACGCCGACGATATTAAACACGGTTCCAAGTAGAAAAATGCGACCCTCATGGCAATTTAGGAATTCCCGATCCGTATATCATCCGGTTGTTAATCAACGGATTAATAAAAATGGATGTCTCGTCGTTTAACGAATTGAATAAAACAGATTCAGAGCTTGGCAATAATTCGTGATAGATATGAATTTGAATAAAAAGTCTCAGGCGAGTTTTACTTTGGCAAATTTGGCTCGTAATGGATTAATCCCGGTAACTTTTTTACGATCTCCCCCACCATCGGTTCCGGCGAGAAAGTTTGTATTCCATTAGCCATTGCCGAGATAGAAAATGGTTCTAACGAACAAGTATGTATACGCACACCACCTTTTAATAGCTTCCAAGCAATCGTTCTATTATCGCAAACGATCTGTTTATCGCATAAAATTAATTTCATCGCAGGGAGGCACTTAAAGTTGTACGAGCTATTTAACTGTCCCTGTCAAATGTTCAAGAAGTGTGATAAGAATCTACGTCCAATATTTGTTCGATGAACTTTCGGGGAAAATGATAATAACAGAGAAGTAAAGTTTATAAAATTATTTCCAATACTTTTTTACATTTACTCATTTTCTATTCTGTATCTTAAATAATATCTTGGATATTATTTCAACTTAAAGATATTCTTAAAACTGTATTATATAATATTCCAAATTCTATATTTATTTGTAAATTAACCTTTTGCTAAGAACTGAAGAAATAATTTAATAATCTCAAAAAATTCCTAAAATTTTGTACACTCTTCCATTAATACAATATCTAATAACTGAATTGGGATTGTTTCTGTTTAAGATCTCGTAGAACCTGAACCGTAGCAAGGAATTGCAGTACGTTTTTCCAAATTCCATTACATCCCTTCCGGGCTGTTGCCTGTCTCATCGAGATTCCATTTAACTGTCTCGAAACTTTTAACTGTTAGCAAACTGTTGGTTATTCCGACCGGTTTAATTCGAACGGATGAAAAGTATTAATTACTGTGCCGGACCGGCGGTATAGGAAATGCCGGCGCTTCGTGCACTCTCTGTCCCTCCCTCGGTTAACGATGCATTTCAAGGAAAGACGCTTTTGTCACCGTTATGAGTTTCATTCGACGGGACAATCCATTTGCCGCGTGGCGTTAAATGTATCGCAACGACAACGAGGACGCCGGCGACAGAATTATATCGAACGAACACCTAAGCGTATTTAATTGTTGCAACTCTCCGCCCTTTGTCTCGCTACTTGAACCAGGAGGTCTCTCGCCGCACCGGTGTGGGCGGTGTCTCTCCGCTCAAACGCTATTACTCACTCCACCGCGCAACCCTCTGTTGTTGCAGGTCTAACGTGCTACACTTGCGTCAACGTCAGCGATAACCAGGTATCGACGAGTCCATTAAACGCTCCACTTAAGAGTCCGTGTAATGCCTGTATCGTGCCAGGTCCAGCCCGCAGTTTCGTCCGCCCATGCCCCAAGGAGATAGATCGTTTTCCCTCATCGATCTTTTACTTATTTTCAAACTACCGGCTTCCGCTCCGTTTGCTCCTTCCGGACTTCCGTTTCCCACACCTACCAGGCCTTCCCGCCCTCCCCGAGTCGTCGCTTCCAAGAGGAATTGCCAATATCGGTCCGGTTGCCGATTCCTTCCTCGCCCCGGTAAGAACAGAGAACCTCCAGCCCTTGGCTGGAGTCGACTCGGATCAATTCTAAGCACGTCCAAATAGAACTTCTTGCTGGAAATCTGTATTGAAAATCGTTGACTCTAGTGAATCGATGGCTGGTACCTCCCTGTCCCAGAAATTCTCCTCTTCCATTCACTTAATTCTATACGTAGTCCTTTTCCCAGCGCATTAGTATATATACAGTCGTTTACGTTTACTCCATAGAATTTTATTTGATAATCCCCCAACTTCTTTTATGATCAATCCGACGACACGAGTTATAGACTAAAGGCTAATCGAGCTCTCTTCGGCGTTTGATTCGATTTTTCTCTTGTTCACAGATGTGCAACGAATGGGCGATAGACACACCGTGTCCGGCGGGCGACCGGGACTTCTGCAGATCGCTGCACATTTTAGACAGCCGAGGGAATAGCGTCTTGGCAAGCAAATTTCTCCCTGTTTCTTCCGTTCGACCCGTGACACGATTAACTCTGTCGTTGCCAAGAAATATTATACGCAACCGGGAAGCGAGCACGGTTCCGTCGGCGCGCACGGGCAACAAACTAACACGCGAATTCCTGTTCTCGTTTCGTTCCGCAGTTCCAATGGGAACACGAGTTTGCATAATGGATGTAATTTTCCACCGAAGAAGACTAAATTGGCGGGACGACGAGAAGGGAATTTGTGCTCCTCGCCTTTCTTTAAAGCATCCCCGTTCCATCGATCTAATCGTATCATCGCCGCGATAAAAGTTCACGAGCTGATACCGCACGGCACGCAACCGACGCGGCAGCATCCTAAATTATACCGCTAATAGGTACTACCCTACGCGTTATCGATCTCGGCGTTTGTTAATGGACAAACTTGCGGGAAGTGTATTCACGGCCCGGAAGATGCGCCCGAGAGCTTCCCTTAAGAGCACCATCGACTAAGCACTTTGCAGAACTCTTTCAATTATGAATACCCGAATCAATTAGACCGTCGCTGATCAGTTAATTAACGCTCGGTTACCGTACGCGATCCTGGGAGAATCGGCAGATGACGAATAGAGCTCGCCCGCGCGTCGTTCTCCTTTAAACAAACTCCTGAGTGCATATCAATCACGTCGACGAACGTCCATTTACAGACGGAGAAACGCGTCTTTTCTCCAGACGCGAAAACTATTTTACCAGAACCAGGTTGACTATTGTTGCATTCAGATAACAGAGCCGTATATTGTCAGAAATATATGGGACGTATTAAAAACCGGGGATGGAAACAGAGAACGTGGGCTCAGAAGAGCTCCTAACGACTGGGAATCGATATCCCAGTCAGACAATCTGTGGAAAAGAAAGGAGCCAGCGTATTGTGAAAGATTGAGAACGAACGCGCGAGCGAGCTCGTGTATGCGCGAGCATCGACGGTCCACGAGAGACAAAAAGAAAACCCGCGTCCCTCATTCCTCTGTTTCACAGGTGAGTAAGAGCTGTGCGAGCAGCGCGGAATGTGGTCCCGCGTCGGTCGGCTGCATCCCGGTGGACACGCAGCAGGTGCGAAATAGCGAATTTTTCCAAATACCTGGACCTGACTCCTCTCCCCCTCTCTCTCTCTCCTACCCTCCATCGATCGATCACGCGTTTTCGGAGGAGAGACCGAGGGGGAGGAAGATTCACCGGGTGAAATAAATTCGGTTATTTCGTTCCAGGTCTGCATCAGCTGCTGCGACCTGAGCTACTGCAACATCGAGTCGCCGACGAACGCGACGAACGCGATATTCTCCCGTAAACGACGGGCCAAGTCGAAGTCGAAACGCAAACGACCCGGCAGGAACAACGGGGCGGGGAGCGATCGGCGGATTTACGGCGGCGGTGCTCTCTGGCTGATGGCCTCGCTCTTCTATGCATATCATTGCTGAGGAACCAGCAACGCGGAAGGAGTCTAGTTAGAAGACACCAGGCAGCACGGGATTAACGATCCTCCGAAGCGGGCCACGGAGTAGGAGCGGAGGCGGGCCGATAAAAACGTCCCGGGAGGCGAGCACCTTTTTACGCGTATAAAACTCGTTACGTTACTTTGAGAAGCCAACTTTTTTCACCTTGTTTCCATAAATCCGCATTGACACGCGCGTAAATCGCCGCTTCCTCGAGGAGCACGTTCACCGGTTCAAGCTTGATCCTCTCAGCCCGACACTCGACTATTTCCTATCGAACTAACGACTAATCCAGCTCGTATATCTTCGACTGATGGCGAATCACCGTTGTCTATACATACTTTTCGTGTATCAGGTGCGAACATATCTACGCGCGCACTCCTCTGCGAGGAAACTTTTTCGAAAAATTTGTGCCCTACGTATAATAACCCCTCTCACTGTCTATCCACGGAGATAAATTGCGAATCGTGCATTATTACGCGAACGTGTATCTCTCTTAGATCGGCGTAAGGTAGCGAATTTAGGAACCTTCTCATCTTCCCGTTCGTTAACAGAGGAATAAGAACTCGACTCCCGCGGGAACGGAGGAGGGCCGGGGAGTCATCGTCCGGTATATTCCGGGCGCAATAAGTCCTGTGCTGTCTGAAGTGCGTATAGTTAACCGAGGGTCCGTTTCAATGGCTCTCAGTGATGGAAAAAGGAATTGTTCTCTTCTCGTAGTAGCGTAGTTGCCATGCCTTGTTAGAAAACGAAGCAAGAAAAAAGAAAACGAAAAAAAAAAAAACAGAAAATAAAGGAAACACACGAACACACGAAAAAGGAGAAAGGTGTAAAGAGCTCGATAGGGATTTAAACGGAGCTCTGGTGCCAAAAGAGACGAAACACAGACGAAAATCGTATACCTTCCATGCCACTAATTTTCTAAAGGCGATTCATTTGTTTCGATCGAGCACGTCAATGCTAATATTGTTCCACGTTTTCCGGGCGGACGTCGATATAGATAAAGGACGACGAGAGCGATGGGAAATGGGGATGCAGAAACAACAAAAACCCCGTATTGTTCCACGAAAAGCCTCGGATTCGACACGCGGAATTTCATTTGGATTCCTCCGATGGAAAGAGAGATGCGAAAAGAGAAATGAAACGTTCTCTGCTCCCTGCTGATTCATTCAGAATTTCAGTACCTGCTGGAACAACGATCGATCGTTATCCTCAAGGCACTTGTTAAGTGAACCAGTAGCGAGCGAATTCCCCGTACGCCACCGTACATTTTCATCCGATAGACAAAGTGACGGAAAGGCTATTCCTATCGTTCAATTCCTGCTCGCGGCTCTGTGTTTGCATTCGATTATACCGCCTTTGTTAGTTGCCGCGGAAACCGACCCTCTGAATATTTAACCACTCTTATGATTGGACCAATTCCGTATCTTTCTTAAAGCCGAACGAGAACCCGTCACTGGGCCGTTGAACGCGCGCGGGACTTTAATTAACCAGAATCCTCGATCGCCGAAATTCAAATGAATTTTTAACTATCCTAATGAAAGGGAATCCTTAATTATTCCTCCGCAACACCGCCATCCCGTGCCGCCTTCATACCGCCTTCTTCTTTTAATAATTTAATTATAATTACCGTCCTCTTAATTGCTACGCCTTAATTACTCATTTCATCGAATGCCGGTAGCACGACCGAGAACTTTTTGCCCCCAAGTTTATCAGACGGAGCCGGTGAGTTTTCCGAGTGTATAATAATAAGAAAAAGGAGATGAAACCGAAAGGTAAGAAGGGGATTAGGTTCATTCCGAAATCAATTTCCGTTCGACTCTTATCGTTCGATTGTCGCGAGGAGCGTGAGGGCGTTCAGTTTTCAGTCGGTAACGAGTTTCTCAAGGGGAAAAAGTTGGAGTAGTAGGTACGCCGGGCACTGAACAAAACGGCCGGAGTTCTGCTCGTGTGCATACAGCTCAGCAAATACATATGCAAATCATGAATTAAACGCGAGCGGGATGGGCGCGCGGGGTTTGAATTATCGATAAACTGGAATTACTCGTACCTAAAAGCTGTTTACATACCTAACAAACTCGCCTACTACAGACTATTCACTGCTATTACGATTATTAACAATTATACACGTAAATAAATGAAATACAAATGAATATATATATTATGATATAGAAATTATACATTGTTTCGGCATGAAGATGTAAGAATACTGTTGGTAATGAAATAAAGAAGACTATAATTGTCAGACTGGCACTCTCTGTGAAATCATTCCATTGTACCCACCCCAAACAATTTTTCAGTTTAATATTTTAACTATTTTTATGATAAAACAAAATGAAATTAAAATTAATCTCACTTTGATTGAAATTCATTTTACATTGATAAGAACAATGATGTGTTATTAATGAATGTCCTTTAATTATGATGTCACAATTCATATAGTAGTCAAATAAAATAGTTTCTGGTTTTCATTATTTTAATGATAAACTAAATACTTCCAGTATTGAATCGAACCAAAACTAATTGTAAGCTCAATTTGATTGAAATCAATTATGCATTATTATAACTATATTGCATTGATGAGAATAGCGACATCGTAATAATAAATGGTCTACTATAATTATAAAGGCACAGTACATATAATAATTTCAAATTTCCATTACTTTAATGATAAATTATTTCACTATTAAATCAAACTAAAGCTCATGTCAATTTGATTGGAGTTCATTTTGCTTTGATAAGAATAGCAATGTGCTATTAATGAATGATCTCGTTTAATTTTAAAGCCACAGTACATATAATAATTTCAGATTTTCATTATTTTAATAATAAACCAAATTATTTCATTCTTTAATGAAACTGAAAATAATCTCAATTTGATTGAAATACATTTTAAATTGATAAGAATAGCGATGTGCTATTAAAGAATTATGTCCTTTAATTATGAAGGCACAGTTTATGTACTAATTTGAGGTTTTCGTTACTTAATTATAAAACGAATTCATTTAATATTATATTAAACTAAAACTAGTCTCACTTGGATTGAAACCCATGCATTGTTAAACCTATATTGCATTAATGAGAATAGCTACGTGCTATTCAAGAATAAAGAAAATTTTAATTATAAAAGCATAGTTCGCATAACAATGGCACAAATAAATACGATTGTAGTCATATTTATAAAATTTTCGTCCCTAAATTATAAGAGTATAATTCACTTTTTGTAACGCCTACATTTCTTCTTGTTTTAAAAGTAACAATTTATAATTACACATATTTAGTTACATACAAATTAACCCCTAAGGACCACAGCTGTATTAACTGAATTTTAATTTCCTATCAGATTTTCTTTAACTCGTATTAACACATTTCTACTTGGTCACTTACTAAATGCATAGTGCAAAAGTTCGGGAAATGTTGACTGACTTTTGTAAAATACTTCGGTCCTTAAGAGATTAATTAATCTATCTGTAAGCCTGTCATCTATTTCAGTACATCATTTAATATTTACATAATATTCTTTGCAAGGTCTATTGCAATATTTTATTGTTACTCACGTGAGGGAGAAGACTGGAGCCGAGTAGAGGAGCAATTGCCAGGTTGAAACTGCCGCATTTGCCGCATGACGATCAACGCCACGTTCCCTTCCCGCGTTTTGAATGTCCATTGCGCCAACAATTTCTGAACCTAAAATTTATCATACCATGTCAAGTCCCTCTCCATAATATGCGATACTAACAGCTTTTATACTTCGCGATAACTGAACGCGTCTACATGCAAAGACTAACAGTGTAAAGTGCAAAAGAGTTGCTTTGAAGAAATGCACGAGCTCGACCTACGCAGCCCGGACAAGACGCATATTGAGAAAACTAAATCGTATATTGAGAAAACGCGTGGAAATCTACTTTCCCGGTCAGAAACCGCTACCGATTCGCGTTGGTCGAACCGCGGGGGAACTGCGTGAAACAAAATTTACCTCTAACTGTCGAAGTTTCTTGATAAAACTCAAATTAACTGAACCATCGTCACAGGGAAAACGTTTTTGAAGGAGTCACGAACACCACAATGGCGTATATCACGTGACCCGGTCACTGTTCCGACAGGAACTACCAGGCAGCGCTGGCCATCAGTGCCTCAACGCACGCGCGTTGTCAAAATCTATATTAAAATGGAGGAAAAGAGTCAAGTGGTGGAACGGGAGGCTAAGAAAAATGAAATTCACGAAAAGGATGGGAAATCCAAACGGTAAGTGAATCTTCGTTTTATTCTTGTTAACTGTCCGTCGCGCAGTTCGGTGTAATTGGAAGCTGCCTTCGTTCGAAGCTAATTTCGTTCGCTGTGTACATTCCCCGTATGACCGGCAGTGTCACGCACGTACGATTCCGAGCCAGTTTCTCATCGCCAGTTGTATAATTATCTATGCTCGTGTTTCGTTTTTATATTAAAATAATAAGAAATATTTGTTGCCGTTATATTTTGTCGTAATAGAGCATTCGACTGAGCATTTTGAAATCGTGTTTATGCGTCACAGTAACCTACCAGTTCAGGGTCGTCGATCAGAAAACGTACAGCGTTGTGAACATGTTAATATGCGAGAATCTGAACTGTATGTTAGGTCACCTCGATTAATTTTCCTGTCAATTTTACAGACGTAATAAAAACTAAGTAGCGTGTATTCATGTTTCTCTTCTTCCTCGTTCCTTTACGTATTGGCAGTATGTGCATATATATGCGTGTTGTTTCTCTCCATTTTTGTTGTGAATAAATACTAGGGTAATACTTGTAGACATCGTAAGAAGAAAAACGAGATGGCTCACTCCGCCAGTGAGAATCACAACCACAATGCTCATAGAGATGAGCACGAGATGCATAGCACATGTAATATCTCTATAAAAGATATACAAATGGCCATGGAGGTGTTCAACATACAGCAGAAGCCTGCCAAGACTCAAGAGGAGGCTATGCAAAAGCCTTATCAGTTCTGGAGTACACAGCCAGTACCAAAAATGGGTAAATAATTCGTAGCGGTAATCGGACTTCCGGCAGTTAAATTCTATGATGGTCCTCTGTAGATGAGAAGATAGTAAAAAATGAACCTATCGAGCCTGATAAGACGTCGATCAGGGCAGAGCCTTATTCGTTACCAGCGGACTTTCAGTGGGACACTTTAAATCTCGATGATCCATTAGTTTTATCTGAATTGTACACATTACTGTCCGAGAATTACGTGGAGGATGACGACGCTATGTTTAGATTTGATTACCCGCCAAGCTTTTTGAAGTGGTACGACGTTGATCAGAGATGTTCAAATGGCTTCGTTTCGATAGATCTTCAGGTAGAATTGTGGTTTCAGGGCATTACAACCCCCGGGATGGTGCAAGGAATGGCACTGTGGGGTACGAGTTATTAAAAGCGGGCGTCTAGTCGGTTTCATTTCTGCTATTCCAGCCACTCTGCGCGTCTATAACCAGTAGGTTTTTAAAAATCTCCCGTTCGTCTTTAGTTACGATGTGTCAGCTAATTCACGGAATATTTTAGTTCTCAAAGAATGGTGGAAATCAATTTCTTGTGCGTGCACAAGAAGTTGAGGTCGAAAAGAGTGGCACCTGTATTGATACGCGAGATAACTAGGAGAGTCAATCTCCAGGGCATATTTCAAGCTGTGTACACCGCTGGTGTCGTACTGCCAAAACCGATAGCTACCTGCAGGTGCGTAGACGAAATCGCCGTTAACATAATGCCAATAATTCGCTTTTATCGCAAAATCGTTCCCGCAGGTATTGGCATCGTTCTCTTAATCCAAAGAAGCTAATCGAAGTGAAATTCTCGCATCTGTCTCGAAACATGACCATGCAGAGAACATTGAAATTGTATAAACTGCCAGAGAATACGAAGGTGCCTGGGTACAGGAAACTGGTCGAAGCTGACATACCCCAGGCTCATAAAATATTGACCGATGTAATGATCGTTCGGAAATGATTAATGATCCTCGGTTAATTTTATTAAAAGTATGTTAAAATCGTTTCTGTTTCAGTATTTGGAGAAATTCGACTTGGCTCCGATCTTCTCGGTCGAGGAGTTCCGCCATTGGTTCCTCCCGCAGAACGGGATTATTAATAGTTTTGTAGTCGAGAACGATGGTGTGATCACCGACATGGTCAGCTACTACACGTTGCCGAGCTCTATAATGCATCACCAGACACACAAAACGCTGAGAGCTGCGTACAGTTTTTACAACGTATCCACTAAAACGCCTTGGCTCGAATTAATGACCGATGCGTTGATATCAGCTCGTAACGTAAGTTCCACGGCTTGAGTAACTGCTTCATTTCCCAGTTTTCCCGGAAAGAAACAACATCATCGTCTACGTGCTGTTTTCAGTTGGACTTCGATGTGTTCAACGCGCTGGATCTGATGGACAACAAAGAGTTCCTGGTACCTTTGAAGTTCGGCATCGGCGATGGAAACCTGCAATATTACTTGTACAACTGGCGCTGTCCCAGCATGACACCTGGGAAGATCGGTTTGGTGCTCCAGTAGAATTCTAGCTCAACGCGTCGTCCGTTGTCTAGGGAAAATTTTTTCGCACGTGCAAGCTTAAAGAGAAATAAAAATAAACGGGTGAAATGTGGGAACCATTATATTTGTGAGAATAATAGGAAATACGAGGGATGCACCGGAAGGAGAGCAAACACGGACTTCGGCGCATCGATACGATTGGAAGGAATCGATTTTTCCTTGAGTCCAAGTAGGCTGTTCCGTCTCCGCTGTTGATCATCTTCACGGTTCAAGGTTGTAATCGAAAATATGTACACGCGTGTATATATATACATATACCGTGTCTGCGTGACTCAAGCAATGTAGATAATTATCGTACTGTTCCATGTTAATTTGCGGATACAACGCGGGTGAGACTCCTCCCCCGCAGGTATAAATTCAGCATTTTAAAAGAAAACGACTATATTCTTTGGACGCTGTTTGATTCAACGCGGAACTTCCCTCGGCGTCTTTTTGTTAATATTAATTAGATCGCAGGAGTATGAGGAGGCAAGAATGGAAGGAGAGTTTAAATAAAATAAGATCGAAACTAATCACATCTTTTGTCTGTTTCTCTACACCCTTTTGTCATCCGGCTTCGTCCCCAACCGCGCTCGTCAATTTCACTTTCTCTTCTGTAGCCTTGAATGCGGTCTCCTTATCGCGCGTGACACGTTTAGAGCTCGCGCAAGAGATCTAACGACTCGTAGATCACTCGATTCACCACCTACCTACCTTTCCGGCGCCTTAAAACCGCGCGGTTACGTAACAGGAGGTCCACTTCTGGGACCCATTAGATAGCGGTGAGACCAAAAAGGCACAGAAACCTGTTTTTAAGGACTGTCGTTAACAGACACGCGGAGCAACATCAAACGTAATTTAAGCTTCATTAAAATACGTACCTTCCCAACTACTCTTTGTATAGGCGTTCTAATTAATAATTGTAAGTTCATATAAGGAGGTCAGATTTTAACGGGTTCCTTCAATTCATTTCGTGTCTTTGTGTATTCAGCTTGCGCCCTTAATACGAATCGAGGCCTCTGTTACAGTGGATGCAGATCAATATTTAACACAATGTACGCGCTAGCGACATGCAAGGCCTTTTAAAGATAAAAGACGCGGAACGGTGGCCCTGTAGCGATTAATAGCTGACTCTCGCACGGTTGTTCCGATACGAGCACGAATTTCGTCCGCCGACTTAAGAAACACTTATAAAAACGTTAATAACTGTTATACTCGAGGTGTCGCACTTGCGTGTCTGGTTTAGAATGCATTGTTCGATAGCATTCCCTTTAACGTGTGCACACGTAAATAACGACTGTGGAAACTAATGACAGTCATACGATTATACGGCGAAAGATCGATTAATTGGTCCATTAGAGTCGTTGAGTAATCGATGATGAATCCTCTTTTCAGATGATCATGAATTCACTTCAGTTTGTTTGTTCAATGACCAATTATACTTCATTTTCTACCTAAGTGACGTCAATCACTCGCGAAGGTGACCGAAAGCCCCTGAAGCTTTTATCTGTACCACAACGTTATTCGCATGATTAACAGTGGAAAATATTAGAATTTATTGTTGTCGCCTTGGCCATTATCATTTTATTATCAGACTGCGTAAAAAGTGGCCCTCGATGGCCAATTTTCAACGTCCTTCTACGTATCCCGTTTCGAGCAATCAATCCGGTCGTTAAGATTAAAGGGACACGCTCCTTCCTTACCTCGAGACACAAATCCTCGTTTCAGAACATCGATCGTCTTCAAGCGAAGGCAAAATCAAGTTCTAATTACTTAGCGGATTAAGTGCTTATCTCGATGAAATAAGGACGTATCCTTCGTCGGACGTTTTGCGTTTATTTTCCTTCTCCGATAACTTTTTGTAACGTTGTTGCAAAACTAGAAAAAAAGTTCGTGAAAAAGGACGATTCAGGGCTAAGGGTGGGGAAATATGGGTATACCCGCATACGAAGCATCCTTATATTACTTGATATCATAACACGGTTAGCGAAACGAATAGCTTGTTTTTATTTTTAGCTACCGTAGCAGTTCTAAGGCAGATAAGAAATTTATTTCATTTATCAACGAATTGTGCATATAGATCAGTGAATTAAAAATCTATGAGATATCTGAACATCATCGTTAGATAAGAGATCTAGTCGTATGAGAGATACGGGCGATCGTGACCGCATTGTCAGGTGAATTCCCGAGTGACCCAATGCGAATGATGGAACCCCGTCAGCGATCCATCGTCGAGGGCCTTCAACTCGTCGACGATCCTTGGCGTCGGGCAACCGCATCGTTTTCGCGTTGCTCGCTCGCTGACCCATAGGGGTGTGCAGGCCTCGATGCGCGCACCTTTATTGTCAGCAAGATTGATCGCCGTAATCGCGTGATTTCCTTTCACGCGATGGGAAGAATGAAAAGGAGAGAAGAGGAGGGAGGAGCGGTTGAAAGAAAAAAAAAACGGAAACGGAGAAATCGCCGAACAATACCCGGAGCCAGATAACAGGCGAGCCGAGCACGAAGCGCTGACGAGCTATACGTAGGTGGGGAACGAGGGACACGAGGCGCGCACACGATGCGGAATAAATAGTGGGTCTGAAATCGAGCGGAATTCAGTCGCACCGCTGTTGTACCATCGTCGTCGACGGTTTTATTCACGGGGAACGTCGCCGGCGGTCATCGTGAGATCATCTGATCCTGCAAAACCTGACTGACGCAGGATAGATCGATAAGTAGAACGAAGAGATAAGAGGGTGATCCCGCGGTGTAACCCCCCTTCTGGAGCGTAGTCCGTCACGCAATCGTAGTCGTCGGAGCGACGGTGTATGAACCCGTTTCGTCCGATTCATGGTTACGCGAGATGATACTGCGCGCATTGCTCCTGTTGCTGCTACCGCTCGTACTACGGATCGACGCTTTCCTCTTCGGGTACATGTGCTTCGTTTATTTTCCACATGCCTCGCGAACGACTAGCTCCTCGGGGAATTGTCAACCCTTACGCGACAGAACTTTCGCAATACCATCCAGCAGCTTCCCCAGTGATCCTTCGAGAATACTTAGTCCTATTAGGAGGAGATAGCACAGTATACTTCCGGTCATTTCCTTCGTCCCAACTAAAGAACCCTACTTGAAACTGAACTCGAGAGAACAACAGGAACTCGTGATCGAAATTGATAGAGATAATTCGCAGATCCTGAAACAAAGCGTTCAAGTTCAGAACTGAAAATATCTTATCTAATTGCGTGTCATTGACCGCGCTCGCCTTGGCCCGGCTAAAACCTCGTTTCTCTTGCCAGTTTTCTGCCAACCATCCCCAACAACAGCAGCGATGACAAGCGGGAGTTCAACGTCTATTGGAACGTGCCCACGTTCATGTGCCATAAGTACGGGCTGCACTTCGAGGAAGTATCGGACAAGTACGGCATACTGCAGAACTCGATGGACGCGTTCCGCGGCAATGAAACCGCGATCCTTTACGACCCAGGAATGTTCCCGGCGTTGCTCACAGACCCGAACGGTAAAATCATACTGGTTCCTTAACCCTTTCATTCCCGTAAGGTGAAGCGGACTGTTCATGAGTGGTACTTAAAAAAAATAAAATTCTGATAACGTAATATTATCATAAAATAAGCATAGATTATCAGACAGTCGTTATTGAATGTTGTAAATAATTCGGGAATGAAAGGGTTGGTACTGCGTGGGGGAGGCAGAGATTGGACAACTTTGAGCATGATTCAGGAGATGTGGTGACGAGAAACGGCGGCGTGCCGCAGGAGGGGAATCTCACGATGCATCTCGAGGTGTTCAAGGAGCACTTGATCAATCAGGTCCCGGACAAATCGTTTCGCGGCGTGGGCGTGATCGATTTCGAGAGCTGGCGGCCGATCTTCCGACAGAACTGGGCATCCCTCCAGCCGTATAAGAAACTCTCGATAGAGATAGTTCGCCGGGAGCATCCGTTCTGGGACAGCCGCAGCGTCGAGGAGGAGGCGAAACGACGATTCGAGAAGTACGGGAAACTTTTTATGGAGGAGACCCTCAAGGCTGCCAAACGGATCAGGCCGGCGGCCAGTTGGGGCTACTACGCCTACCCTTACTGCTACAACTTGACACCGAATCAGCCCAGCTCCCGGTGCGACGTCACTACCATGCAGGAGAACGATAAGTATGATTCTACCAATTATTATCTTATTAGATTTATAATGACTTGAGATCATTGATAGTGATTGTATATAAAATCTAATCTAATATTGCATATTAAATCAATCTTATTTATTTTATTTATTTAAATCAGATAATTATAATGTATGATTAAAACCAGAGTTACAATGCGTCCTGTAAAAAGCAATCAAAGTTACTTGTACATAGGCTGGTATTTAATGCTAAAATGAACTTAAGGATCTATTGGCTATACAGTCAATCCTAAAAGTTTATGCACTTTAGAAACGTATTTTTTAAAAAGAAATCAGACGTCGGAAGAACATTGCTAATAATAAACAACAAAAAAAAATTTTCGATTTTTCCGAGAATTTTCCAAGGGGTACCCCTTGAATTTCTTACAAATTTTCGTTTTTGGCCAATAACTTCTAAACCATTGGATATATGGAAAAATTGCATAAGACCTTTCTTGTAGAGGACGACGAGATCTACAA